AGTTACAGTTAAGTTTAAGACATCAAACTGTAAATTATATTGGGGCAATAAGGGGTGAGACTGCAATCAGGTTAGCACAATATAAAATTAGTAAAACAAAGTAGGGTTAAACCTGAAAAATGGAACGCAACAAAACAAATTCATTTGCTGCCCAAATTATTACTTCTAAGCTAAGTGCTATTTTTTAATACTGTTTTTTTCTGTTGTTTTGTTCGCTGACGAGGGCTTCCTGCCGACACGTTCGTAGTTTTTTTTTTTTGCATTCCTTTTTTCAGGTTTAACCCTACCTCATTTTATATTGAAAATTATATTGTAAAATATAGTAGATCTGCCAAGTTAATATACTATAACAATTAGCAAAATATAATAATTGTTTGTTTTAATTACATTTTGTAATTTGGTCGTGTAACACATGACTAAGAATCTTTTTTAAATAATTTTGTTATGTGTGTTAAATTTGACAGTTTCGGTTATTAGAGAGAGAAAAACAAAGGGAAACAATTGTGGCAACGGTTTCCTTAACAAAAATAGGCTACCTTGAGTAGAGGTCGTTTCTACCGTTGCAAAGCAGCTTGAGCAGTTCAATTTATTTTTATTTGCGCCGGTCGTCACATGTACATTGGAAGGTCAGTCAGTATTACTTAATCAGGTACTTAAAAACTATTATTTCATTATACAATAAGTTATTTAATTATTCCATTTCAAATTTTTCGTGGCCTACTTACTACTCACACTTACACCTTTTAATTAGTTTTCGTCAATTTAGTGGGCTTTAATTGAAGTTTTATTTAACTTATATATACTATAATATTAATATATATAAATTTTAGCTCTTGACTTAATTTGTTATTATTTGTTAGGCTTTTACATTTAGTTAGGCCTTGGCCCTAAGATGACTTATTTAATATTTATAAAGTATGTATCATAAATGTATGGCCTTTTTTAGTTAGGCTTATACCAGTGGTGTAGCGAGGGTGTTTGGCGCAGCGAGGGTGTTTGGCGCCCGGGGAAAAGATTCGCGCCCGGGGACAAGATCCATTTTTAGCACCCCTTTTTCTTTTTTCAACTCTCAAACCCATTAATTTCATCATTAAAATAATATCAAAGCACATTTTTGCGCCCCCTAACTAGCTGGCGCCCGGGGAATCTGTACCCCCCCCCTTGCCCCCACCACGCCACGCCTCTGGCTTATACCTAGCCCTTGATTGGCTTAATTATATTTAGTTAAATTTATTATTTACATTAAATCATTAACCTGACTAATATATATAAGTTATAAGTAATAAGCAATGTTCCCTCTGACTCCGAGGTTTTCTGATCTGGTTTGTGTGCAAAAATCATACAGTTGTGTGGAAAGTTTTACAACATCAATTTTTTTTTGTGCAAAATTTTACAGCCCACAAACACACACTGACACACACGGACATTTGCTGTGCAAATACACAAAACTGCTGCGCTGCGTGTGTGAGATCGGCCGTGCCGCTTAAACTTTAAGGGAACATTGCTAATAAGTATAAGTCATCATATTCATAAGCCTTAAAAGCTGCCCTTAACTTTAACTATAAGTATAAGCTTTCATATATTATCATATATATATCACAATATAATACAACTGTTTTTGGTACTCTACCACTTGAGCGTCGGCCAAGTAAAAAAATCCAGTTGTTTTGGTTGGAAGGGCTATTTGCTATTTAAACAACTATTCTTATAATGGTGTCATTTAGTGGTTTCACTCCCGTATAAAGTTATTTAGAACAATAAATTTAAATAATTATAACTACTCAGCTACCGATATGGAAGGAAGAAAAAGAGGAGAGACTACAATAGTGCTGATGCACGAAGTGTTTGATACTGATCAGATACGAAATGAAGAAGTATGGGGGCTGTCCAAACTACTGCCGAATTTGTCAGACCGCAATTCACCATTACGATGGTGCATCAACAAAATTTTGTTGATCCAGATGAGCTGATGTCCACACACAGAATGTGGAAAACAAGTGGATGAGCGCAAAGCCCAAACTGAAAAGACAGCTTGGCACAAGCCACTATCTTTTCCCTCCATATTTACATGAATTCATCTATCCGCAACCGTTTTCGTGGAAATGATATTATTTTAAAAAACTTCATTGTTACCTTGGGGGAGAACTATGCATAATTCCATTTTCACACATTAAATTGTTCTATTAAAAAAAAAATTGTTTTAGTTTTTCTATTTTTAAAAATTAAATTGTTTTATTTGTATTAATAATACTATTATATATGTGCTGGAATGAATACGTACAATCAATGTCATAAAAATAAATAAGAATAATTGTTTAAATAGCCCTTCCAACCAGAACAACTGATTTTTTCCTTGGCCGACGCTCAAGTGGTAGATTATCCTGTTTTTAATAGTAGGCCTAATCAATTAAGAATCAAGACAAGTTCAGACAAGCTAATAAAAAGATTTTTATAAGCTTTAACTTTAGTAGCTACCTGACGATTGCCAATTAAACCAGAAATTAGTACAGATGAATATTGTTTAATGGAAGTTTGTTCAAAATGAAATATAAATAATGGGAAAAGCCAAAACAAATGAATTTTACTATAAATAGTTTAAAAGTTTACATTTCCTCATTTCTCAATTACCCTTAAGAAGCCTTAATTGGTTAATAGGAATAAAAAACAAAAAAAACAAATAGCCTACACTGCACCAGTTGTAGGAAAAAAATTCCATTGAATTCATTGAACAAATTTAATGTTCATTTTGAACACACTTTTATTCAAATTAACTTCTTTAAACTACATTTCTTAATACTAATTGATAGTAATTGGTTACATAGTAGTAGTAATTTCTGGTAACCAGTTATTCTGGAAGTGTAAGTCTTGAATTTGAATGTATGTAAGTTAGAAGAATTTTTAAGGTTAAGAACATTCTTAAACTATTAATAGGGCAAAATTAAATCATTCAAAGAAATTCATGTTAATTTTAAAGTAAATCAGTACCTCAAAATGCAAAACTCATTATTATTGTCACTGACATTGTGAGACTGGTCACACTCTGGTTGGTTACATTAAAAAATTTACTGTGACACTGTTATCTGTGATGACATCGATGAAACCCTGGTAGGACTACACTGTCTACTCTACACCACTGGCTACATCAGTTGGTTGTTTAAAATAAAAATTATTTTGTCTTGTTTCAGTGTATCAGTAACTGAAATAATTTACAGATTCAATGAAATGTTTTTCTGGATGATGATTTATAAATGAGTAAATGTGAGTAAGTTAGTAATTAGTAAGGTTTAACTTGTATTTACAATCAATCTTATTCAATCTTCTCTTCTGACTTTCTTCTAGTGCCATTCCATTTCAAATCAATTAAGTTTAGACTGTCATAACTCTTTTAATAATAACAATAATAATCAGGTATTCTCAAGGGTTTTTTTTTTTAGTAGAGGCTAGTGGTAATACTAATACGTACATATTGAAAATCTAATACATTTTAGTACGCCTTTTTATGGTGTTTTTTTTTTTAAACTTGTATTCTAATGAAATAAATTCTTAAAATTTAATGCTATTTTTCATTTCTTTCTCTCTTAGCACTACTACTACTAGGCCGTTGTTAGCCACATTGATTATTGAATTGAAATTCAAGACAAACGTACGGAAATACTTTATTTTGTAAGTATGATCATTTTTCATTCATGATTTTTAATACTATAAACTGTATTGTACCTTGTAATTTTATAGTGCCTACATCTACAGTGTTTTTGTATATATATCTGAGGCCTCTAATATAATATATAGTTTATTGATTTAATACTAGTTATCTTTATAATAGTTACCTTTATTCCAGATTTAACTCTTAAAGTCAGACGAGCTAGTCTAAAACTCTTTAATTTTGGGATTTTATATATATATTTCGGTATTTTGTCCCAATCAATATCTTTACATCCTCTTCCGGTGTTAACATTTTTCAAACGTGCAAGGAATTTGTTTTTTATCGCAAGTTTACAAAAGTTATAAAATATTGTCTGTGGTCACAAAGGGTAAAATTTTATCACTACAAAATTACTGCATCAAAAATTGGATTTCATCAAAACGTGGATTTGACCTAAGGACACTAAGAGTTAACTGATTAGCTACTGCATTGAAAAAAACATGTGGTTGAATTAAATGTAGAGGTCCCATTTTTAAACATGCAGATCTATTAACAAATTCAGTTGCCGTTTTCTTAATTATAACATATTTTTATAAATAATATACCTTTCTGTAGATAATGAATTTTCTTTAAGATGAATCTAAAACAGATTTCTGCTAATGTTCTTCGATTATTATTTACAAGAGAAAACCATGCAAAAAAATATTAAAATTTGCTGCCTGCAAGTTTTGATTACCGGTACCAAAACATTTAAATATTATATTAACACTTCTAATATGCAACCATGCAATCACATCTACATCCAATTAAAAAAGTTCCCAAATTTAGACAAATCGGCAATTGAATAAACATATCTCAAACTTATTTAAAGTATGTTATTTTTCGTAACCTTATTGCTAGTTGCCATGAAAAATGCTTGCTAACTACACTCAATATACGATAAATATGACCAAAAATAATTTTTTTGTTTACATTCTGACTGTCCCATGTGGTTTTTTAATTAACTTCCTTTCAGTAAATTAAAATCTCGAAACGCAATTAAGAATGTAAATATCACTAATTTTACTATGAAACAAACCTTGAGGCTCACAGCAGCTCATGGGCATAATAGGATGAAAGTTTTGCACTACCAGCGACTTATTGTAGTTAACCATTTAAAAAAAAATGCTTTATTAGTAAATTAAGTCAAAAAAAGTTTAATGATTTTTATAGTAAACAATGATTTATAATATGATAACCTCTTACAAGTCAATCTAAACAAAAATTTATAGCAAAAACTTTTGATGTATTAAAATGATCTATTTACTCAAAAATTTTGTTAAATCATTTTTCACCTAGGTTGTAAAGCAACTTTAATATGGGAGCTGTGACTTCCACTCAAGTAGCAACAACTTTCTTTGATAGCCAAAAAGAAACTCCATCTCCAATTCAGCTTGAGTTTAATCATGAAGTCTCTAAAAGAGTAACAGATGAAGGTGTCAAGCTTATGCCTGGTGGTGATGCAATGAGACCAAATGACTGTCCAAAACATCAAATAGGAGATGGTAAAGGTGTAGCAGGCAAGCTGCGGATTGTTGATGGTGGGGAGACTTCTTCTAAGGAACACACTCTATTTGGGCCAAATTCTTTTTTGAGCAGGAGTGAAGCTTTAAGTGGTTCACAAAAGTCGGCGATTTTAACACCTCTCATTGACCAGACACCTTTACTTCAGACACCTTTACCTCAGACACCTTCACCCAAAACAATTCCTCCCCAAATACCATTGCCTAACTTACCAGTACTAAGTGAATGTCCTATGCACAAAGATCAGGATCTTAAACCTACATCATCTGTATCACAAGTTTTTCCTATCAAAGATAATTCTTTTGAAAAAATAGAAAGAGTGAAACCTTTGATTGAGGTGAAACAGGATGCCTCGCCTATCATAGAAGTTGGAAAAACGGTTTCTCCCCCTAAAGAAATGAGTCAAAAACTTGCCTTATCATCTATTCCTAGCGAATGCCCAATGGGTCATGGTAATAATCTTAATCTGCCTAGCGAGTGTCCAATGAGTCGACAGGAGCCAAGTGGCTTATTGACTTTAGAAGGATACAACAAAGATAACATGGTAAGTAAAGTTAGAATCCATATTTAAGCAGTGCAAAAGGTTGTTCATTTTTTATTAAGGATGTACTGTCATGTGTAGAATAAACATGGGCCATGGAGTCTGAAGGGAATCTATTTCATCTATCTAGATAGGGCTTTTAAAGAGTTATTTTACTTCAATATCAAACAAGTCTTACAGATTATATCTCTCATGTGATAAACACTTTTTCCAGTTCTCTTTATGTTCTTAGTTGTACATTTGTAGATTTGTTTAAATTGGCCTAACCATGAACCTATCTGAATACCGGTGTGTTGTATTAAATACTTTTAAAACTTCACTTTACTTACTTATGTCATTTACTTTTACTCCGTCTCGGACATAGGCCACATACAAGAAGCTTCCATTCATCTCAGTCCTGTGCTTTTTTTCCCAATTGTTTCCAGGTGTATCTAATACTTTGTGTATCTACCTCTAGCTCGCGTCTTCTTGTATTTTTAGGCTTTCCTCTCTTTCTTTTTGCCTGTGGATTCCATTAGAAATCGTCTGGTGATGTTATCTGGGGGTTTACAAAGTTTGCTCTATCCACCTCCGTCTATTCCTTATGATATCTTCAGCAATAGGCTCCTGTTGTGTCCTTTCCTGCAAGTCTTTGTTGGTGATGTTTGGCCCTTTGATGTTCAGAATCTTTCAAAGGCATGTGTTTATGAAGGTCTGTACTTTCTGCGTGATGCTGGCTGTTCTTCTCCAAGTTTCAGTTGCATAGAGTAGGACTGTTTTGACATTTATTTTCCGAATTCTGACTTTGGTTTGCAGAGTCAGCTTCTTTGATTCCCATATTTTCTTTAATAGCACAAATGCTGACCTATCGTTTCCAGTTATAGCCCTGACATCTGCTTCGGATCCACCATTTATGTCAATGGTGCTGCCAAAGTATGTGAAGGCCTCCACTTCTTCCAGTGCATTTCCTATCAGAAAAATATGCTCTTTGTTTTTTCTAGGTTTACCTTCATGATCTTTGTCTTGCTTTTATTCATAATGAGTACCAGCTTTGCTGAAATGGTCTCTATGTCTGTCTTTTTCTGCATTTGTTGCTGGTTGTGGGACAGGAGTGCAATGTCATCTGCAAAGTCTAGGTCATTCAGTTCCCAGGGTATTCACTGTATTCAGCTCCTATTTTTGTTTGTTGATTTTTTTCATTATTCAATCAATGGCAAGAATGAATAGAAAGAGGGACAAGAGACATCCTTGTCTGACTCCTATTTTCACTTAAAAAGTATCTGTGAGTCTACTTATGTGTACCACCCTGCATGGATTTCTTTATAAGAACTCTGGATAATCCTGGTACCCCATGATGCCTTCCCTATTTTGAGCTGCTTGGTAGCCAGGGCTATTTCTTCCTTATTTGGGGCAGTCTCTTCAGTTTGTAAAGCTTCATTTGTTGGTTGTATATCTTGTGTGTCTGTGGGTGGAGGTCTGTCTAATAATTTCTTTAAGTATTCCACCTTTTTGTGTTTTCCTTTTCGTGGCATTATTGGTCTACCCTCATGGTCTTTAACCGGTCTCTATGGCTTCTTGTATCCTTCTGAGATTTTTCTTTTTATGTTCCCCTTTATGGCTGCTTCTTCTGCTGTTTCATTTTGCTCTGTTTGAATAAGTTATTTCATGATAAATTGGGACTTTATAAGATCTCAACTATTCATTTCAGATGCCTCCACCTAATCAGCGACCAGCACCTGATCAGCCATTCCCATTGCCCACTGAGAGAGTTGTCTCTTCCATACCTAAAGCAGGAACAGAAGAACACTGGGTATATCCATCACCTCAAATGTTTTGGAATGCCATGTTGAGAAAAGGTAGTGAGTGCTCTGTTGATTTTTAATTTAAAAAAGACAAAAGAAAGAAATAATTCTTTATGCAAAAGGGTTATTATAAAAAGAAAAAAAACACAAAAGATATTATTTTATATGCAAAATTGTCTGCATTTCCTTACTTGATATAAAAGTGTTTTTAATGCATGCGGTTTAAATTATAAATACTTTTGAAGATGTCTGTCCCAAATTGTTAAGCCTGCATATTAGAGTTTATACTTCATAATAACAATTATCAGTCAAATACTACATTGCCTCTTTATCATACATTTGGCTGATTCAAAGAATTTTTATTAGTTTTAATTTCTTTTTACGTAGTCCATGATTTTTAAATGTTCAATAACTGAATTATTTTTAACCTACAGGATGGCGTTGGAAAGATGATGAAGTCTCTCAAAATGATATGGAAAATATTATAAATATCCATAATGCTAATAATGAGCTTGCTTGGAGAGAAGTTCTTAAATGGGAAGCTCTTCATGCAGAGTAAGTTATACTTTGTCTCTGCTGTAATGTTTTGTTAAATAATTGATCTGTCATTAAATGGACACAACTTAGCAGGCTGCTCCAACTAATTTATTTTAGTTGACAGTGACAGTGCAATGCTTAACTCAAGACTTCGGTTACCGTAAATTTGTTTGAAAGAAATTTGTTGACTGAAAATTGATGACGGAAGTTTGATCGAACTGAAATTTGATCCAACTGAAGTTTGGTAGATTTTTTTTCAGTTCACACGATCTAATTTTGCGTCACATTTCTTTTTGAACACATTATTTTGTGTTACTAAATGGTATAGTGCGTTCCAAAAGAAATTTGACTAAAATTTATTAGTGTGAACTTGAAGAAAAAAAATTCTACCAAACTTACGTTCAATCAATTTTCCGTCAACGAAATTTCTTTCAAACAAATTTCCGGACACGCAAGCTGCTGTAGTTTGAAATTGGTAAACCTCAATTCTAGTAAGCTTTTGATAGGCATAAATTTTAAAGCAATCAATTCTGCCATTATAGATTTCATATCTTCTTTCTTTTAAGTGAATGCCGAGAGCCTAAACTAAAAAGATTTGCTGGTTTTGCTACAAAATATTCTCCAAGAGCAAGACTCCGATCATGGATGGGGTAAGTAAACCTTCATCATGAGATGCTTGTTAATAATTTTCATATTATTTTTGTCTCATTAGATAAAACCTACCAGAGTGATGAAATTTTTTTATGATTAAAATAACTAAACAGAAATGTAAAAATGTGTAAATATACTTTATTAAATCTTAATGTACTCACTGTACAAGAACTGCAGTGTTTTTGTTAATTAACCACACTTGGCAGTGTGGTAATTTGTCTGCCCTATAACCAGGGATTACTAGCTAAATGAATGAACATTCGTTCTTTGTGTAAAATGAGTAAAACAGAGTAGGGTTAAACCTGAAAAAATAAACGCAACAAAACAGCGAACGTGTCAGCGAACAAAACAACAGAAAAAACGGTATAAAAATTAGAAATAGCACGTAGCTGGTAAGTAGTATCTGTGGGCAGCAATAGAGTGTCGAATGTACAACCGTGTTGTCCAAATGTTCTGTCCAGGTGTGTTCCAGTCTCTCCCCTTATTACCCCTTTCTTTGCGTAATGCATTTTAAGAAATGTTTAAATATTCTCTACTTTGTAGTGGTTTAAATGGGTCTTTAGTTTTATTTTCATTTTTTTTTTTGTGTGTGCATCAACTCTTGCTATCACATATAATGTTTGTATATTATTAATTATATGTTTTATTTTTAAAGGTATGAACTTCCATTTGATCGCCATGACTGGGTAGTTGATCGCAATGGTAAAGAAATCCGCTATATTATAGACTATTATGATGGAGGAAAAATAAGCAAAAATTATGAATTTGCATTGCTGGATGTTCGACCAGCACTAGACTCATTTGAGGCCTTCAAGGATCGTATGAGAGTAGCAGTTTGGAGATGGACAGCAGCAAGAAATGAATTGGATCTACAGCAGTCTGGTGAAACTCCAGATAACATTAAATCGGCTGATCCGCTCAACTTTAGGAACATTTCTGAGGGTGCCAAGGAAAAAGAACAGAAGCCCTCTCGATTTATGTCACGCAGTCTCAGCGATGTTCAAAGTGCCCAAGACAAGAAGAATTCTGTCAGCTGAGAAGTGTGGGATAATTAGAGAGGATCGGTCCCAATATCTGGATGAGAGAAATTATCGCAGGTTGCAGATGCGTTCAAGAATTAAGCTTACTCAAAATTTACACATTTTTATTTTTTTTAGTATCAATGTGAGATGTTCAACTGGAATATAAACAATTGACAAGATGGTTTTTTGGGGCTTTTTTTGGTTTTTTTTTTTATTGGATTCTTGTTTTCTTAAAGAATTGCACTGCTCTAACACCAAAACATATGTATAATTACCCAATAGCAGATTTTTATATTTATAAGTATTTATTGTTTCAAAAGCATTTTAAAAAATTTTCATAATGCACAAGATAATTTATAAAAATCAGGACTTTGGAGTTGAATTCAGAGCAGGGGCTTTTTTTTTTCCACCAGACCTACTATCCTCATGATGCCGCCAACCCGCCCCCCTCCCTTTCCAGACCTAGAGCACCATCTCCTCAGTTAACCTGTATGCTTCACTCCTAGTCCCACCTACCGACACTCTTTTCCCACTCTCCCGACACTCTTTTCCCACTCTCCCCTTCACCTCCTCACCCTTGCCCTGTACCTGCTGCTTTGTACCATTACTCAAGATACTGTCCTCATCACCACACTTCATTCCTTGAACTAGGTCCCTGTCCTAACCCTCCCATACTATCCAATAAAGCCCTGAGTGGGGTCAGAGCTCCAGAAAATTACTACTCCAAAAGCCTGATAATATTCATAACGGCATATAATTACAATGATACATTTTTCATATAACCCAAGCTAATTACATGTGTTTCTTTACAGCTGAACCTAGAAAACTGCATCTTGTGATTATCTCTGGAAAAGACTGGTTGTACATTTAAATTATGTTTACCGGTATTAATTGAGCTTTGATGCTATCAAGTCCATTCATATTAAACAATTGTTGGACATTGAATGCACATCTATGTTTGTGATAACATCTGAAATTAAGTGAACTTGATGCATAAGATAAGAGTAATCAATAAACAAGTTTCAAAATGCAAAGCTTTTGTGTGGCTATACATATTTTTAAAAATTTGTTGAATTGAATGAAATTTTCTTTTTTAATCTTTTCCTTTTCTTATTACGGGGCCATAAATTTATATTGTAGTTCTTACACATTATTTACAGAGACATTTTTTGATACGTGAATTTAGTTTTTCATCATTTCCATATTAAATTTAAATGAGAGCAACAGAAGGGATGCTAGTGGAAATTTAGGTTCCCTTGACCTAGATGTGATAATACAAAAACTTTTTTCTTGGTTGTTACCAAATAGAAATGCTGTTTTATAATTACCATAAACTATTCATTTAAACTACTTACACTGATGATAAACTTTTTTCTCAAACAAAATTTATATTTTTAATGTAAAAAAAAAAATAGCAACAAACTGAACAAAATATTAAAATCTCGAAAAGGTCCAACTTTTGGAAAAGGGTCTAAGGGCTGCTACCTCTGCTCCACTACTGTGAAAAGTTTTAATGACACTAACTTTATAAATGCTGCTACAAAAGTTACACCACCGCCCAATACCAGTATATTCCGTACAGCGTTGCTGCTAATAATTGGTATTAATTTTAATTTAAATATTATGAACAACACTTTATATAAGAAGCAAAGTCTCAGCTTCAGCTCAAAGCCTCAAACTTGCAGATCTAAACAAACACAACATAGTAGTAAAGTTTGTGTTAGTGGTATTGATATTTAAAAAGAACATTGGATAGACCAAACTCTAGGACAAGTATACGTGAGTAGTGGCGTCTCAAGGGTTGATGTCGCCCAGTTCATCTTGTTACCCCTCCAGACTTACTCTAAGTCTACTTTCTCCGGTGTCGGCCAGCTCTTGTTGTACTTGTAATTTGCTGGCACCCTCTGTTAAGAAACCTGCTCGAGCTTGTTCTGTCAAAATTTTTGTCAGGCCTGGCTTAGCATCCTGGGGGACCCTGGGCAAAGTAAAGCATTGAGGGCTACTCTAGTACCGGTAATATTAGGAAAACATTCAGGGAGGGGAAATTTCAGGCGTTCCGAGGGAGAGCAGGGGTCTGTCAGTGCCTTCATTAGGCATTATGCCCAGGGCCAGCCTTGGTGCTTTCCTGAGGGTATGCTTTTAGTTTTAGCCCAGCTTGGTTTCACTCCAGGAATCTAGATAGTCCAACTATATAAAAAGCAAAACTAAAGTAAAGGAAATTCGTACTTTTGTCATAAAAAGTTTCCAGTACTGTCACTTTGATAAGGGATGGAGGAGAAATCAAGGGTGCCAAAGGATCCCCAACTAAACTGGGGATGGCCTTTGGAGAGAGAGAGAGAGAGCTCAATATAAATCCATGTCCAGAAATTTGTTGAAAATTCGAAATACAGAAATGCTCTAGAGCCAACTTGACAATAGATTTGCTTCATTCTGACTTCTTCTTCTTCTTCTATATCTGAAGGGCCCACGATCAATTTATTGATCATTTTGGCTCCTATGCATGTAGATGTTTTTAAATCATATCCTTATTTTTAGTTATTTATCCATAGTAATATTGTTGTATAGTTTTGTTATTAAGACTATTTTTTAAAGTTCTGACTGCTTCACTAAAAAAAGATGTTTTTTTAAATTGTTAAAATTAAAAACAGTTGTTCGTGACAAAAAAAAAAAAGACAACCATTTGTTTAATGAAAAATGTGTAAGTACAGTAGAACTTGGTTATGTCGACGGCCTCTGCGTTTGCCAAAAATTGTCGAGATAACCGATGATCGAGATAACCGAAAACCAATATGGCGACAATAAATGAACTATTAACATGCTTGAAATTTCTTAGTGTACATGATGTACGTTAATAAATGCAAGTACTTCAGATTTTTTTTTTCTTTGAAATATTACAGTTATTTAGAGCAAATTTCAAATTTGAAAAATGAAACCAGAATCAATTTTTTTAACTTAGTACTTTTTGAGCTACGAATTTTAAAGTGCCAGTTCATTTAGTATTTTCTACTATGGAAGAAGCCTCCACATTTTGTGACCTCATTCTGCTGATTGTGTCTTGTGCAATGACTATGTAGTTTATATAAGGCAACGCATCCCCTTACTACTAAAATACTATTTAGGAACTACACTGTACTTATATTGAACATTTAACTTTGGCCCACAACTATTTAATTAAAATGTCCTGTATTTTGAGAAATAAATAATACTTTTTTTATTGTGCTATTTCTTCTTGTGGAGATCAAAAGCCGGCAATTGCGTTCGATCAATTTACCGTCGACGAAATTTCTTTCGCTCAAATTTCCGGTAACCCGGCAATTGGTCATGGGAATCGAGATAGCCGAGGTTAAGTTGCAAATTTGGCTACTTTTGTGCTCTAGATATTCAGGGTTCGGCGACATAAAAGAATCGACATAACCGAGGAGAAAATGCAAAGATAAAGAGAGAATTTGGCGGTTCCACTTTAAAAACGTCGACTTAACATGGTTGGCGAGTTAGCCGAGATTGAGATAAGCGGGTTCGGCTGTATGATAATTACCTTATACTTATTGCATTTGTTTAAATTTCGAATATTTTACAGTTAAAATTACAGGTACAAAAAAGATAACAAATAATATTTTTAAGAGAAAGTCTGTAGATTTGTATGGCTTTTCAAAACTTGGAATTTTTTAAAATAAATTGTATATAATTTATAAATGGCATTACTAATAAAGAAGATAGGATATTTAGGAAAGGCATATTTTTAAAATTAAATTTTAATGTAATGTGTAATTTATTGACGGAAGTTGAAATGAGCCAGTATAAATTTCTATTTATTGAAACCAATTGTAGTGTGAAACTCTTTGTTAATTATTTTTAATCCCTGGATTTTTACGCCCAATTTTTAGTACCGATTCTAAATAAAATATAAATGAAAATGATTTGAAAATAGAAAAAAAATCTAAAAGCTTGAAACTATGGCAAATGCCCAGTGTGCCCATCCTATATTTTTAAGACGGAACTGGACTTTTTTACCCTGGTAATTTGAACTTCAAGAGGCTTATGAATTAAAAAATATCAGTTTCTTTAGAAATTGATCACATATTATTGCGAAATTATATCGCAAATAAAATAGTTAAAAAAATAATGGACAAGCATGACTTAATTAAAGAAATTTCGTCGACGGTAAATTGATCGACGGAAATTTGGTCAAATATTTTTTTTTTTCATTCACACGTTAAAATTTTGGTCAAATTTCTTTTTGAACGCACTATACGAAATGGAACCCACAGGGTAAGCGGAAAAGAGGCCGTCCAAGAAACACTTGGCGCCGAGAATTGGAGACAGACATCAAGAAAATTGGCCATGAATGGAAGATCCTGGAGAAGCTGGCCCAGGATAGAGATGCCTGGAGGTCTCTCGTAGGTGGCCTATGCCCTTGGAGGAACCGCAGACGCCGACGATGATCGGTGGATGCCCCTCATGGACGAGAAGGCTCAACAACAACAACATACTATATAGTGCAACAAAATAATGCATATAAACAGATGATGATAAACTAAACATAATAATTGTAATGGAGTAGTAATACGGAAGTAAACATATTATTATTATGCTTTGACGTTACTGTTATTTTTGAATGGACATTTAAAAAAAAAAATTAAAAATCACGCAATCTCTCCTTGAAAAATTCCAAGTTTACAAAAGCAAAGGGGGAACAAATGATTGATAGTAATAGATATTAATATTGAATAAATATTTGCTATATCCCGGAAGTAATTAAATCCATTCATTGAATTTTGACTTTTTTTTTTTCATCCCTGAATATGAGAATCGTGTTGGTGTTAGATTCTAAACGTGTTCTTTATGTCAAGTCGTCTATCACTTTAGAAAAAACAACACAACTAAACAACCAAATTACATAATTTACAATTTAAAATTCAATTTAAATTTGGCTTCGACTTAACGTTGACAAATTATACATTTTGTTTTCATTATTTTTTGTCTAACCTGAAGTCTTTAAGGCGATTAGAAAATGATAAAAAAATCATTTAAGAAACATTAAAGTAGGGTGACCAAACATCCCGTAAAAATGGAATTGTCCCGTTTTTTCTCGATTGTACCCAGTGTCCCGAAAAAATCTATCGGGATGCCTTAAAATGTCCCGTTTTTTTAAAACCAAACACATTTTCACTTTTTAGATAAGAAGGAAGTTTTAGACTAGAGAAATTTAATTTGTCGTGTTGTATTATGTTGCAAACTATGTATAAATAAATAAGTATTCACTGTAAAATTATTGTTTTCGTTTATGATGTGCCTCAGAGTTTAAATTAAATTACAAAGATTTAAGTTTAAGAACACTAGAGCGCAGTGATGAGCATGCTAAACTTAAGTAGCATAGATACCAGCCCTATAAAAATACAAATCAATCAATCAAATCAATCAAGTCAGTTAAATATGACATAAAAACTAGAATACTTTACAAAGGTTAAAACTAAAAGCCATGCAACCATAATATCATTTTTGTCACAGTTAAAAAAAAAAAATGTTGATGTCCCATTTATTGAGAATCCCTGTGATATGTTTGGATTATGACGTCAGTTTCCTTCGCGTGCGTTGCGGCCATTTTGGACAAAGAAACAGCCATTATAAGTGACTTGGTTTGTAATGGACGGGTAAGAAAGCTGGTAGCTGCCTACAAATAATACGAAGGAGTCCTCAGTTTGGATTATTTAAACCAAATATTTAAATCTGGGGATACTTTAAGTCTGTGAAGATCTACTGAAAGTGTACCTGCTTTACACAAGCTTTGAATTTTTTAGTTGGTAATTCAAATTCTAATTAGGCTACCTGTTTTCGATAAAGGGGATGATTGCTTAGGGATAATTCTGTAATCAAATCAATTTAATGTAGCTAATACTACTACAAGGCACAACAGTTGCGATAATTTATCATTAAATAAATATAAAATTTATAAATAAAGATTGTGTTAACAGTATGGCGTATGGGTTTTGCAAAGAGCTGTCTCACCCAAAAGTAAAGCCAAAGGGCAGTGACATCCCTTGGGCT